TGTGTGTGTGTGTGTCTGTATGCAATAAAAAGCAACATCTTGACAGCATGAGAAGTCCCCTATTTTACCAAATGTGATTTTACAGAACTAATTGAGCAATAGTGATTGAATTAAATTAAATCAATAATTAATCACCGGGAGATTACTACTGATGCCATGTTAAAACGATTAATGTCCCTTGTTTATATGAATGAAAGAGTACAAATCACTTCCCATAAAAACAGTTCCTTTAAAACATTTAGGGAAATTTACAATTGCAACACTAAGTAACAGTTCACAGGCACCAAGAACAGAGCAGGAGCACGACACCTGACATTGTGGTATTATACATAGTAACCAGAAAATAAATGAGTATCTCCTGTATATTGCAAACAACAATAAACAACAATCAAAACGTTTAACAAAAGTCATTTTTCGTATTAGTAGTATTTTTAGTATTCTTGTAAGACTCGTCAATTTTTCGGAGAAAAGTGTGTGTGAGGGGAAGAGAGAGAGAGAAACAGCGAACCTATATATTCAGCATCACTGAGTGTGTGTGTGCGTCAGAGAAGAACTACCTGCTGAGTTGAGTTTTAGGGCCCTGCTGAGCTTCTGCCTCCCAACCACCCCTGACATCTCTGCTGACGTGCTGATTTTGACCCGCTTGGCGTTTCTCCACCACCACCGCTGTCCTATCCACTTCATCTCCTGCCTTGCTGCTCCGAGGCCTAAAGCAACGCATCTTTGCACTCTGACTTGACTCTCAGTCTCACTCTCTAACTTCCCTTCTGTATGATCTCTTCATTCACATCTTCTGAGATTTTGGGCTTTGACATTGCGTGACATCATGCAGCTGACCCCGCCTTAGCTGTCACAACTGGTCAAACTGGATCTCAACACACCTGCTAATGCCCAGACAGACAGCAGTTAACCAATTAAATCTGCCATCATCACATGTAGGTTTGTGTGCCACAGCTCATAGGTAGAATAAGAGATATCTCAATAACACACGAGGCACTCTTAAGAGTTAAATGTAATGTATTAAATGTTGTTTCTGTTGAGTCAGAATGTGATTTTCTCTCAAAAAACATATCAAACACTAAAAACATATCACTGGAGGACAAACAAACAAGATAACACTAAAGCTGCTAAAGCTAAAACTACTGATAATGCTTTTAAAGAAGGGGAACCGAAAAAAACAAAAATAATAATAATAATAATAATAGTATTAAAAGTAATTTATCACTCTGGTATGAGGTCTTGTCTGGATAGTTAAAAGTAACCACAAAACAGGGATGAGTATCGAGAACCGGTACTAAGTAGCAAGTTGTATCAATAAGAGTATCAATAATTATCGGTACGTGTAAGCAGTATCAATATCAATATTGGTAACAATAAAATCCTATTGATACCCATCCCTAGCCAGCAACATGGATTAGATGGAATTAGGGTACAACTATGTATATTTATATAAATTATAATAAATATAAAGAATATACAGGTCAGGGTGTGCAGACTGTTCAGTTGTCATTGACTGTTCTCTCACATTCATTCTCATTGGTTCCATCTGGACAGGCTAATCCTAATTAATAGATGTAAATCACACATGGACTCTCTTTTTCACACTTTCTCTGCTGTTCAAGACTATGCCCTCATTGGACCTCTGTTGTTGAGACTTTTACAGAGATATCTGGAATACCATTTACTCCTCTAGCAGCAGGTTTTGGTGTTGCCCAAAAGGAATTACCTTTATCCAAACAACAGGCCGATTCAGTAGTGTTTGCTTCTCTAGTGGCTTGACGCCTAATTCTGTTAAATAGGAAGCAAGAATCAACACCATAACATATTCAGTGGATTAGAGATCTTATGCACTTTCTCCACATAGGAAAAATAAAGAATACTCTCGAGGCTCAACTGACAGGTTCAGACAGCTTATCTTGTGTAGACAAACTAACACTGTGCTCCGTGCCATAAGCATAAGATATAGCTCGGCTTCTGTTGGACTGTACAAGCTCCATTAAGCTTGGACTCATTTGGATGGATGTTTTATCTTTTTTTTCTATTATCCAATGTTTCTGCTTAACTTTCTTTATCTTGTTTCCTTTTATTATGACCACTAAAACTAGTATGCTTTGTAATACTCTCTGAAAAGGTAACATTTTCCTTTCTGTCATTTCCTGAAATAGCCCTATTGATTAAATGTTTTTGCGCACAATCTAATATTATATTTAAAATATATAAATAAAGTTTAAAAAAACAAAATACATACATATAGCTTAGTACTTAGTACTGCCACAGACAGATGCATAAAACACAATCAAAATATTCTTTCTGCCTAATGAAACAAACAGAAAATCTTTTACCTTTGCCAAGAAGAACAAAGGCCAAAACTGTGAATTAGCCTCGGAAAAGTACATCTTGGTGCCATTTAAGTCCCAACAGTAAGAACACACATGCACAAAGAACTGACTGGGTTGGAGGGAATTCTGCATCACAAACAGGATCAAACTATCTTTTACACAGGCAATCCTACATTACCAGGTACGACAGGTATTTGTCAAACACCAACAATTAATTGTATCTACACAAGCGTAAAACACACACCTCCAGCCCACTTACACATTATTACGTGTTTGCACATCCAGAGGAAATAGATTATTTTCACGTTACACGTTTATCTGATGCTCTCTCAACCAAAGCAACTTGCAAGCGAGCAGACTAAGCTTAAACCTAAATTACCACATTAGTAAGCAAGCAGTAGTAAAAAGATGTCAAAGTCACAGCCCCAATAATATTCTAGTGATCCGAGGTGTGCAGAAAAGAGAGGTTGAGACCTCATCTGGACCAGTCAAGATTTATGCTAGAGCTAATCGAGTTATATTCTAAGCCAAAACAAAAAGACAATATAAACAATATAAACAATGTAAAACATTTCCAAATGTACTGTTAAACTACTGATGATGATATCTCAGGGCTCAGAGATCATAAATCCGGTTTATTTTCATTACATTGGCCCCTCACTTGTGTAGGTAACGTTTCACAAGTAGAGCGGGACGCTGAAAGTAGGCTAGTTTAAGTTAGCTAAGCTAGGTGAATACTGTCATCCTGTTCACAGCCATGGGTTTGAGAAAGTGGTTGAGTGGCTGGACAGCACTAAGTTCACAGCCAACGGTTGACGATCACTTTTTTTGAGCTATCAGTATCATCGGCTACTACTAGCCCTCCGCTTAATGCTACATCCTGCCAGGCTGACATGCTGTTGAAACTGACACCGCTGTGGATGCTTAAGACGAGCAGTGTACTTGGGAGTAAGAAGAGATGTTTTCTTGCTGCCAGGTACCAGAGGAGGGATTGGCTGGAGTACTCGATGAAAGCGAATACAGCTTTCTGGCATTTGAGTGCATTTCAGTCATTGTAAAACGTGTGTGTCCCTGCATTTATTTACGCCTACGTGAGATATCCCTGTGTTTTTCTTCCAATTATTAGGAATGACACGAGAATGCATTGTTTTTCTGATATTTTTCTTTAAATTTCCTCTTGAGGAGGATACCACCCACTCTTTATGCACAACCACGTTGCCACTTTCCAGTAATTTAGTTCCCCTCTTTGTATATTTGCTCTCGCTCTGACACTGAAGGAGAGTCAAGACACAGCGATGACCAGGCCATTTGAGAACTGGATGTCTATGTATGGCAGGGTGGCTGAGGTTGTTAGGTTGTTTGAATTTGACGTAAGCAGCTAAGAGCAGCCAACAGAGAGAACGTAGGAGGAGAGAGAGAGGCAGGGGAGGGTTTGGAGAGGCTAAAAACGACGTAGGTTGCAGGGGTTTTTTTGCAGGTGCATAATGAATGTTTTGGGAGAGAGCTACAGTGGTCCAGAAAGTGGGTCATTGGCAATAAGCTCGACGAAGTCCCAGGTTAGGAACCTTTTCATTTTGACTCAGCAAGGCAGAGTAGAGGAGAGTTAAAGGGCAAATGCACACAAATGTCCCACGAAAGACTTTTGTTGAAAGACATTGTTAAAAATATCCCATATTTTGAGGCCAGGGTTCTTTTTACCATTATTCCTGCAAATAATTCATGTTTCTGATGAAACTACAATGGAGTTACAGTGGGAAAATAGAAGTAAGACACAACATTTCACATTTTGACATTAAACAATCAAACAGTGAGAAGGGCACCAATGTCTCTAACCAGTTCCCCCAAAGAGAAGCGTAGCCTCAGCACTGCAGCCACACGACAGACGAGTGAGGAATGTGAATATCACTGACAAAACCATATAAATATACAACCAGACTAACTGACTAATATTTGCATACACACCCACCTTTACATGTTCATCCCGTTTGAACTGAAGGTAAAAGTCACTGCCGGAAGTGTAGTAGTTATATTCTGACAAACATGAAGCAGGTTCAAGGAAATAGAAAAGAAAAAGAACACAGCTACAACTCATGTACAGTTTCTGTTCAGATTTTGTGTGGGAGAGTTCATCGTGTTAATATGTAACCTTAATACAGCATATAAACTGTTGTGTCATTTAAAGGCTTGAACAGAAAAATCCCATAAAGTCAAACCTCACAGCTTCCACTCAGGCCAGAATCATCCACCTCTTTAATTACAACATAATACCGTTTATTGCACATACAGTGTATTCAGCCTATCTACAGGCTGTAAGTAAATACCCTCAGGTTATGACTGACTGATAAGGACATTTTATTCTTTACATATAGGCTAACAGAACATTTATTCAAACTCACTTGGATAGTTTCACTGTTCTTTTTACATGAGTTAAAAAAGTGTAATACACTCAGATTCAACAGTATCATTTAATTAATGCTGCTTTAAAACCAGCCAGATGCCACGACATGCTTATGGGAATTTCTTACAGGAGGTAACTGATGGGATTATGTGATTTCCCTAGTATTTAGGGCAAAATCAGATGACAAATACAACAGAAGAATCTACTTTCAGGGTCTCTAATGAAGACAGCATTCACTACGATCAGTATCTGATCATAAAATGTGTCAATAGTGGCTAAATATAGCAGACCCTCAATGAATGCAACTGACAATAAAGCTGCATATTAATAACATGGTAAGTCATAGTGCTCATTCTTATGCTGCTGTTTGAGAGAATTAAAAACTATATTTAAACTAGTTCAAGCATAATATTTAGTTTAATATGGCTACTGCGAGAACAAGTTCAATGAGGGGTCATTTTCAGCTGATCTGAAGGGGGTTTAGTGAGGCAGCACGGTGCAGACCTGTCAATGGTGCAGACAGAGCACTGTTGCACTGTGACTAAGCTATATGGCTCCACCCACGGGCGAGGACAAGTACAACAAACTCAGCACGCTGCTGGGAAAAGGAAATTAATTGCAAAGGCATTTTAATAGGTAGCAGCAGTCCTTCCCACTGCACCACACCGCTGGTTGTTCGCTCTCTGTGGTCTTCCCTCTGGTTGTTATTGTCTTCAAGGAAATAAACAAGGGATCCGCTTCATGCGATGTACGGACACGGTCCAGACAAAATATTTACATGAGCCAAATGAGTCCACCCTACGCTGTGAACTCAAACTTTTATTGGAGTTTCGGTGAAATGATGGCGACCTTAATGTGCCCTTGGTAGTTTCAGCGCGTCCTACCGGCGCTAACCGCTCTGAGGTCATCACAGACGACATGCTACATAGACGGTCCGCAGCTCCGCCGGCAGCAGCCCATTGTTTTAGGCGAAATACCCCGAAAACACGCCGTTTGATTCGTCACAAAGTAGCCGAGATTAAACATGGTCTAGCAGCGGCACAACGCCGGCCGGTGGCGTCCTGCGTGTTAAAGCGGATTATCCGGGTTATCATCCTGTGAGAGCACCGACGCCGGTAGTCAGCCGCACTCCTCGTCATCTCTCCATCAACAGCACGTTATTAGCATGTGCAGGTTGCTAGCACATGTGTTAGTGTGTCCTATCAAACGTCCTTACCTGCATAATTGTAGGGAGGATGCCCCCTCGCGCGCCTGCGGTACCGACATGGTGGTGATGGTGATAAGGTCTCGGGGTTTGCTGGTCTCGTGTTGCAGCGAGATCTCCGTGTGATGTGAAGGGGGATCAGGCTCCTCCGGTGTCCGCCGGCTGCTCTGGTCACAGTCTCTTAGAAAAATGACTCATGTGGAGGAAAAGTACTAAACCCAAACAGGATGTAGTATGTAACGTGGGTTTACGGTAAATGTTGTTCATTCAAAAGTGTCTTCCAAACAGGATGCGCTTATATTACAGGATGAAGTAAACCATAAAACAGTCATTTCGCTTACATGATGCAGTGGCCGGTGTCTTTCGAGGAGGTACATGGGAAAGACATGATGATTGTGCAACACAAATAGAAACCATGTCGATACCTAGACCCGTCGGAGGGGGGCAGCAGAGACCACATTTACTCCACTACACCAGAGTTTTGTGTTGCCTGTTGGGGGCGCGTTTGACCACAGGATGCATCCTGGAGTCACTGACTAACGGTTTTTATTCTGTTGAAATCTGTGCGACAGATGTGTCACCAGGTCTCTGCTCGTTAAACAGAGAAGTATTTCCATATAAGGAAAACATGACATCATATTTGCTGCACAAAGGTTTAATTCAAAGTCTGCTAAAGCTCTCTGGTTCTCACGAGCCTATTGTTGGGAGGACGCCGCCTTAAAACACACTAAGTTGCCTTTATAAGTAACAGTAGTTTGTGTGTGTGCTTTGTTGTGTATTTGCTGCAAACTGCTTTTGTCTGTATCTGTAGATTTTAACGCAAAGCGTGCCAACTAAATAACCTTTTATGGCTGTTGATGCGTAATTACGCACATGAGTAAAGACCATGAAGTGTAAACAAACAACAAGACAGGATTTAACCACGACGTCGCAGTTTTATTTGTGTTTATATAACATATATACAACATTTGCTGAAAATAGCAAAAATAAAATACATCCCAACAGAGATACTTGCAGTGACACACAATATGTCTACAGAGTTAATCTGCACAGACTCAGGACACTGAAGTCTATAGTGCAAATACATACACACTGACCCTTTGGGTCTTACAGGGCTGTTTCAATGGCCCTTAATCACTCAGTCCGCAATGAGGACTAAATATTTAACGTATACATACATGCAGATTTAAAAAAAATACGACTGTCTAAACTTGTCGACTTATACAGGACAACAGACTCGTGCGCAAAACGTAAGTATATAATACTCAACCAATACGATTTAACAATGAATTCTGGCTATTCATCAACGGAAACGAGGCGGTGAATCACTGTGCATATTTACAAGTGATGCTATCCCAACATGTTGCCTTCATATGAAACACTTCTCACAGGCTCTACCAGGGTCTCCACATGGCAG